GTGAGTCTCGGATCGGCGAGGGCGTGGGTCGGGGGCGCGGGATTTTGCTGTGTATTTGGGTGTACGTGTTTGCATATATATGTATGAATGTGCATACATACACACACACACATATGTATGCATATGTGCGTGTCTGTGTGTATATGTATGCATAGATGTATTATATATATATATATATATATATATATATATATATATATATATATATATATATATATATATATGTTTGTATGTATGTATGTATGTATATGTGTGTATGCATACCCAATTAAGGTAAGTCACTGCACACCTAATACCCTTTCAGACCGGAATATTCCCTTTTCTAATTTTAGAACGAAAGTGCCCGGTTGCCAAGAGAACTTCCACCTCCATACCTTCTAAAGCTTGTACCCCAATCGTCCGAAATGTACCTAATCTATACAGCAAAAAGGATTTACAGGTCGATCCCCTTTTCCCAGCCCTACAGTCGCCTAAATCACATCCCATAAAACAAAAAGGGTGAAAATGCTGTAGAAAGCGACCTCGGGTTAAAACATTTCGCCCCTTGACCGGTCCGCCATGTTAGGTCCCGCGATCCTTGTACCGAGAAGAGACACGAAAATCAATTGTTTTTTTTATTTTTTTTAATCTTCTGAATTGATTTGGTTAACTTTTATTCTCAATTTTATTTCATTCGTTTTTTAAGAAAAAGAGAGAAGTTTGACCATAAGAAAAGCTTAATAAATACCCAACGGAAGCCCTCTAGACGGGTTAAGATGTGGAAGAAGCATTACCATACAATAGGGCGAAATGACACGGGGAAAAATCGTCATACAAACTTGCTGAGAGGTTATACTTGTTCGACTACCCAGAGATAACCATTTATGTAAGTGTGATTATATGTAAATAGGAAGGTTGAAACTTGTACGAGAAAAAGTTCGATGTTGGCAGTCGATTTTACTTAGTCTTTTATTCGGCGTGAAACTAGATTTTACTTACTTTCGTTCCGATCAGGTGGTTTCAAGCGGGAACTGGTCGTTAGTTTAGCTTCTTTATTCGCTCTCAGGGCTAAGGAAAAGGTTTTAAGCCAAAAAATTACTTACATATATATACCCACACACACGCGCACACGTCACGTGTGTGTGTCTGTGTGTGTATTTATGTTCAGACAGATCGACAGATACATAAATGCATAAAGAATTTTTAAAATCGTTGGGGTCAGGAGGGCCGCCAGAATGAATGGGCGACCCAGCCAGTGTCAGTTCGAGTCAGTGTCTTTGAGCCTGACCCCCCCCCCCTCCCTGTTACCCTGGCTGCTTAGTTACCTCTCTCTCTCCAGCCCCCCCCCCGTACCCGTACCCCACCCATACCCCACTCTCTCCCTACATATCCAGGGCACTCTGCTGAGAGCCCCATTTTATTGTTCTTTCTTATCACGATTGCGAGGGGAAAGCTCTGAGGGGAAAAAGAGGAAGATAGAAGCTAGAGGAAGATAGAAATGACGTCAGAAATCGGAGGAAAGTAGGAGTTGAACATGAGGCTGGGAGACGAAAAGACATGTGAACGATCTTCTCAACACGCTTGGTAACCAGTTATACATGTGCAGATTTGCATGAGCGGATACGTGCCTTGTATGTTAGAACATGCTTGCATTATGTGCGCTTGTGCATCTAAACCCTAAGACTGATACCTTTCTCGCCATATCGTGTGCGCCCTTTTTGCAAGGGACCACCTTCGCCGCCCGTAATAGTGACACAACGAGAAGGAATGAGGGCGGGGAGACACCTGTTGCTAAGCTGGCCGGGAGGACGCTGGACGCCATTACCAAAACGGATCGCGAAGACTATCGTATGGGGGAGGGGAAGGGGTAGGGGGATGTCGGGGACGGTAGGGTGGGGATGAAGAGGTGGTACTCCTCGGCTGATGAAGTCCAGATGTATGTTCTGATTTCGCCTCATTTGAGTTGGAAGCTGTAACTTACCGGGACGTATGGGCGAGCGATACCGTAGGAAAAAGGGAAGGTCATTCCTCTCCCGCCGGTGACCCCAACGGGCGGTGTGACATGATCCCAGAATGAATGGCATTCTGGCTCCATCCCTCCCGCGAAGGAGTTGCGGGAGGAGGACGACCCTGTGCTGGGTACAACGGTCGGAGAATCCATCACCCGGGGCGGTCTTTAAAGCACTCCTTCGACGAGCCTTAGGAAGAGGCCTCCTTGATCACGTCGCGCATGTCCCCGTCCGGAGCTGAGTCACACGCCGTGCATAATGTGGTGGACGATATCGCGCTGTGAGGTTGACACACTCGCCGGGTATCTATCGGATTATCTTGCGACGCCGCCTTTCACCCTCAGACCTTCTCGATTCCTTGAAGAAAAAAATCCCCGGCGCACCTGGCCCTTTGAAATCCTCCAGACAACGTTGGGTCACGTGCCGCCGCCTCCGTGATGAAGTCGACATGGCAGAGACACGGAAAGGGGCCCCATACACAGCGATAAAAGGGAGGTCAAGCGCGGTCGCCCAGACACCCGCGTCTTCCGTGATGAAGAGGAGGTCACGTCCTCCCGAGACAGACGCAGCCTCAACCTCCCTCTGATGACGAGAGATAATGTATGAATTAATTATCAAATGAATTCGTTATCTCATGTCTCGATCTAGACTCGCTGTTTAAATAGACCGTAACTTTTAAGAAACACACATGTGAGCTCTGCTCTGTGTGTCGCGTGACCCCCAAATAAGAATCCTCAATAAAATTTATGAACTCTTCATCCCAAATGCCTTTTTTCATTTTGTCGCGGAATCTGTTACAATTAACTCGTCTAATTAAAAGAATTAAGGGCTAATCAAGTTAACAGTAAGGGACCTCGTCCACATGCAGGTTTTTCTTCCAACCCAAGAGCTTTCTGAGTCACAAGATGGAGGCCCAAGATATCCTCATGAGATTTGACCTCCGCTGTTGCTGGGCCGCCGCCGACGCCTCCGTCAGCCGCGCGGCGCTCGATTTAACCCTCCGTCAGAGGTCTTACGACACTCTTCCGGCCTCTCGCGCTGCCTTGGCGACGTGAGGGACACCGCGCGCTATAAAACGAGGTGGTTTTCGCCGTCTGAAGATAAGCCGAGAGGAAATCATCGCCGCATGCGCCACAAGGGAGGTCGGCTTGCAATATATGGAGACACATAAAGTGACACGGTTGACCTGACCCAACGCCAACGTCTGGAGCTCGTCTGCGTTGCTATTTTGGGAGTTTGCCGTGACCTGGTCTGATAGGGGTGACCTCCCCCGAAACAGCTGCCGACGGGAGAAAGCGACGTAATGTCATTTGATATCCAGTAAGAACAGATAATGGTTATCATCGGAACAATTTCCTTTCCTTTTGAAGCACTCGGACGCAAGCATAGTTGTCATGGAGAACAGTTACCAAAGAGAAAAAAAAGGACAAATGCATTTTATATTCATGAATACAGACATATCAGTCAGAGAGATTAATGGCAAGAGGAAAGTCAGATGGAGCGATACTTAAGCCAAGGTGTTCGCGCCACCTGAGTGTTCGGGCGCCATAAACAAATCACTCGCTTCTTTCGCATAGTAACAACCGGTCGGAACTTGCTTGAACAGACCTAAAACAGAAGGGGGCGAAAAAGTAATCCTTGTCCCAGGGATTAACATAAATATATAGGGTGAAAGTCCCAGATTGGACAGCGGGTCGTCGCCGAAGCACCTCGAACCGGCTCTCGGTGGACGCTGGCTAGCAACGTCCGAGGTCTTGCTCATGTTGCCCCGGCGTCGTCCAGCGATCGAGACGCACCCCCCGCACGCGAGGAATTTGCATTTATTAGCCTTATTAAACCAGGTATTTTGTACTCTTTGGCGTCTGGCACTCGGCTGCTGGTTCTTGACAGGTTTTCTTTCGTTTTGATCCACCTCCTCCTTGTGCACGATTTGTGAAGTGAACTTTTAAATTAAGAAGATATCTAATTTTAGATTTAGTTTTTTTAAAATATTTTTTTCATTATTATTTTTTCTTTATGATCCGGATCAATCGAAGGTCTTCGTGAAACCTTAACCCAAATCACCGTCTCTCGAGGAAGCATAAAATTTCTCATTTAGAGTTCGTTTGGCCTTCGTGTCCCTTCCTATTCTTTCTCCTGTTCTTTCACTCTCTCTCTCTCTCTCTCTCTCTCTCTCTCTCTCTCTCTCTCTCTCTCTCTCTCTCTCTCTCTCTCTCTCTCTCTCTCTCTCTCTCTCTCTCTCTTCTCTCTCTCTCTCTCTTCCTCTCTCTCTCTCTCTCTCTCCTCTCTCTCTCTCTCTCTCTCTCTCTCTCTCTCTCTCTCTCTCTCTCTCTCTCTCTCTCTCTCTCTCTCTCTCTCTCTGCTCTCTCTCTCTCTCTCTCTCTCTCTCTCTCTCTCTCTCTCCCTCTTTCTCTCTCTCCCTCCCTCTCCTCTCCTTCTCTCTCCTCTCTTCTCTCTCTCTCCCTCCTCCCTCCTCCTCTCCTCTCTCTCTCTCTCTCTCTCTCTCTCTCTCTCTCTCTCTCCTCTCTCTCTCTCTCTCTCTCCTCTCTCCTTCTCCTCCCTCCTCTCTCTCCTCTCTCTCTCTCTCTCTCTCTCTCTCTCTCTCTCTCTCTCTCTCTCTCTCTCTCTCTCCTCTCCTCTCCCTCTCCCTCTCTCTCCCTCTCCCTCTCCCTCCCTCTCCCCTCTCTCTCTCTCTCTCTCTCTCTCTCTCTCTCTCTCGCTTTTCTTCCGTGTTCTGTTCCGAACCAGCTTATTAACCACCTGACTGAGCACCTAACTGACCGCCTGACAAGCAGCTGACAAATCACATGACTAAGCGAGCGAGCATCCAGCTGACAGTCGAAGGCAAGGCGAAGGGTCGGCGAAAAGCGTATGACAGGGATAAGACAAAGTTGGTTTGAAAGGCCCTGGTGTCAGGTTCCCATTGCTTCGACCTTTTTTGATATACGGAGGAGGGGGAGGAGGAAGAAGGGAGAATTATTGTTTTTCAATTTGTTTGTTTTTGTTTTTGTT